GGAACAGGTTTAGCCACCGTAGTGTGCAGACGTGTGATGGCCTCGCTCCCTGTTTTTAGTGCCGAAAGCATGGGTGATTCACCCAGTACAACACGTAATAACAGAAGTGCTCTTTCGTATGGTGAAATTATGAAATTATTAAATTTTCCAAATGATGTAGACTGGCGGAAGACCCTACTGTTTGTCGTCGATCCAGGAAACGGTCCTTACAACATTGAAGACTTTGTACCTGAACTGAAGGAAATTATCGACTTAAAGGATATCATTCACTTTGGAGCCTCTGTAGTGACTCATGTTTTTACGATCGGGGTCAAGAATGAAGCTGCCGTGGAAAATCTTTTAAATAAAGGAACGATAAATGTAAAAGGTAAGCCCTGTAATATCATAAGTATAGAAAACCGGAAAATAATAGCCACCATACACTGGCTCCCTCCCGAACTATCCCACGAACTTGTGACGAAACATTTTATAAATTACGGGAGAATAGTAAAATGTGAATACGTTAAATGCAACGTCGAGGGATTAGAGCATATCCTTACAAACAAACGACGGATATGGATCGAACTAAAAAAGGATGTGAACTTAGAATCACTACCATACTTTATTAAAGTCAAAGGTATGTCGGGAGCGGTCGTAATAGCCGGCCGTCCCCCGTTATGTTACCGATGTAAAAATAAGGGCCACCTACGGAGGCAGTGTACCACGCCGAAATGTAAAAAATGCAACAAATTCGGCCACAACGACGATCAATGTTTGGGAGTCACTTTCGCTTCCAAGTTACAAAGTAAAACGGACTGGGCAGAAATTATGGACGATTTTGACAAAGAAGGTTCTGGAAGTATCCAGAACAAAGGAAATAGCTCAACTACTGCCGCAGGCATTAACGAACTTCAGATACCTTTAAACAAAGAGGTAAATGAAGCAGAAGTAAGCGCTGCCCAGAACCAGACAACAACAGGTATTGAAAAAGATGAAACAACAAACCCCCCCACTGATCCTTACAATAATGAAAATTCCCCACCGCTCCTAACAGCTAAACGGAGGAAAAAAACAAAATTCCTTCCCAATATTAATATTCCTAGAAGTATGATACAGGCAAAAGACCAAGAAAATGACATACTCACCTTACAAAATAAATTCGACTGCCTTATGGAAACGAACGAAATGGAAACAACCTTAGAGAACGATAAATTAGAAGATAACAGTAATGATAAGAACACAAAAGAACAGAGTATCAAAACAAACGAGCCGGAAGTCATGATAATCCCGCCAGAATGAATAAGCTAAAAATTCTCTCAATAAACATCAACGGTCTAAACAACAAAAATAAACAACAAATCTTTATTCACAAACTTCTTACTAGTAAAATTGACGTTGCACTAATTCAGGAATCAATGCTTAGTGAAAATGAAAATTTTCATCAATTTGCCCGTAACATAAACAAGTTTTATCAAGGTGTCTGGTCCCATGGTAACAGAGGTAACGCAGGAACGGCGATTCTAGTTAAACATGGCATTAATATCGTATACCAGGCACACGACGACCACGGACGGTTAGCTCTCTGCGATATAGAATTTTCACATGAAATACAGAGAATCATTTCAGTTTACTGCCCATCAGGAGATCCGAAAGCAAGACGTGACTTTATCAATATCCTTGATTTTTATCTGGATTCCACTAACGAAGTCGTATTAGGCGGTGACTTCAACTTGGTCGAGAAAGATATAGACAGAATAAGAAACACCTGCAATAAAAGCGAAACTAAAATTTTTCAGACCCTGAAAGATCGGTTCGACTTAATTGACATTTGGCGTAAAATGAACCCTCACAAACGTGAATTCACATACCATCAGAATAAATCTCACTCCCGTTTGGATAGATTCTATATTTCTAGTCACCTCCAACAGATAACGTCGGAATGAAAAATCATTCCGAATCACTTAACTAATCATAGCGACGTTATTTTAACACTCGACTTAACAAAGAGGAACTGCAAACCCAAACATAGAGTAAATATACCCTGGAAAATGAACGTAAATCTTCTGAAAGACGTCGACTTCCTAGCTGAAGCAACCCAAACGATATTTAACACCACGGGAGAAAACGACTGGGATTGGTGGAAAACTGTGAAAAAAAAAAATATTAAAAATATCGCAGTTAAGATAAGTATAAATAAAGAAAAACAACGACGTGAAGAATACGAAAATGGGACACGGGAACTGAAACAGGCATATAAGCCTAACGAAGACTATTGTATCGTTAAAAATTATTTTTTTATTTTGTACAAACAAAATAAATATATTGAAAAATATAAAAACAATAAAAAATTATACTTCAGAAGTTAATTTAGTATCAAAAACGTAAAATATTTGAGTAGCACGAGAAATAGCCGAAGATTGCAGCGCCACAGCACTGGCGAAAATTTAGATTTGTCGACTGGAATTCCTTCGGATAACCGACCTTCGGATAAACGACGTTCTACTGTAGTTCGTTTGATTCTCGGCAATTCTCATCGTTGTCAGCAAAAGGTGTTATATAACAAATACTATGGTTGTTGAAATACTGAGTATAAATGGGGTTTGCTTGCAAAATCCTCTCGGGCGAAGTCGCGGTAACAGCTAGTTTATTATAAGAGATAGAGAGGTCATTAAAAAACCTATAAATTACAATACTTAGCATAAGTTAAGGATTAGCCTTTTGGCAGTATTGAACAAATGAATGAATTAAAATGCAGATACCTTGTTCTTCAATGTATTATTGCAAAATTTAGATATGAAAGAATTGTTATAAGAAAAATTTTTTCATTGTTCACGGTTTATTTACATTTGTATACAATTTGATATATTGTCATATAAAACACAATCTTGTCAAATAAAATTGTATGTTGATTGATTAATGTTTCATTTTATAGCATAAAATTATATGGTGAAATTTCCGTGAAAGCTTGTCATCGAATGGTTTTATCTAGAATTCGACCAAGCTTACAAGGAGACCCTATGGCTTTGGGGAAACGGATTTTGATGATCTTTGGTGTAGAGATACTACTCGTGAGTGTACTACCTGTAAAATACTAAAGTGCAATACTCAAATATAGTCGAGAAAAACGAACTTAAAGTTTTTTTTAGCACTTTATATATAAACTAGCAGACCCCGCCACGCGTTGTTGTGGCTCAAAATGTATCTATTATGTATGTATAACACTTCCCCCGTGGGGGGGAGAATTTTTCGAAAAATTTTTTCTTAGTGTATATTCTCTTGACGTATCCTATTAAAACGCAATCAAAAACGCAAAAAACCGCATCTAAAATAGTATAAATAGAAGCAGAGTTCTTTACGGTAAGCCTTAATCCTAACCATCTCCCTTCAGTGGGGGGAATTTCGACACGTATATTATATAAAAACACGTGCGCATTCGAATGCAGCGTTGGGTCAAAATTTCAAAGGAATCGGTAGGAACAAACGAACATTACATTTTTATTTATATATATAGATAGAAGATGATCCGCTTTAGTTCATTTTCACAGAAAAGCATAATGCCTGGCAGAAAAGCAAAGTTAGGGCGTCGTACTCGTAGCGCCATCTGTTGGACATAAAAACCTTAACCTAGATTATATCTTTTAATTTATACGAATGTTTAACGGAATAACATACAGCCTATGTCCACCCCGAAGTTCCATTCTAAATATTGGTGAAAGAATTTTTGAAATCGGATGAGTAGTTTCGGAGATTACCCGCTGCATACAAACTCACATACCTACAAACATTACCTCTTTATAATATTAGTATAGATTATATGTGTTTCCACTCGAGCGTCCTGTGGCTTAGTGACGAGCCGGAAGTCATGTTAATCCCGCCGGAATGAATAAGCTAAAAATTCTCTCAATAAACATCAACGGTCTAAACAACAAAAATAAACAACAAATCTTTATTCATAAGCTTCTTACTAGTAAAATTGACGTTGCATTAGTTCAGGAATCAATGCTTAGTGAAAATGAAAAATTTCATCAATTTGCCCGTAACATAAACAAGTTTTATCAAGGTGTCTGGTCCCATGGTAACAGAGGTAGCGCAGGAACGGCGATTCTAGTTAAACATGGCATTAATATCGTATACCAGGCACACGACGACCACGGACGGTTAGCTCTCTGCGATATAGAATTTTCACATGAAATACAGAGAATCATTTCAGTTTACTGCCCATCAGGAGATCCGAAAGCAAGACGTGACTTTATCAATATCCTTGATTTTTATCTGGATTCCACTAACGAAGTCGTATTAGGCGGTGACTTCAACTTGGTCGAGAAAGATATAGACAGAATAGGAAACACTGCAATAAAAGCGAAACTAAAATTTTTCAGACCCTGAAAGATCGGTTTGACTTAATTGACATTTGGCGTAAAATGAACCCTCACAAACGTGAATTCACATACCATCAGAATAAATCTCACTCCCGTTTGGATAGATTTTATATTTCTAGTCACCTCCAACAGATAACGTCGGAATGAAAAATCATTCCGAATCCCTTAACTAATCATAGCGACGTTATTTTAACACTCGACTTAACAAAGAGGAACTGCAAACCCAAACATAGAGTAAATATACCCTGGAAAATGAACGTAAATCTTCTGAAAGACGTCGACTTCCTAGCTGAAGCAACCCAAACGATATTTAACACCACGGGAGAAAACGACTGGGATTGGTGGGAAACTGTGAAAAAAAATATTAAAAATATCGCAGTTAAGATAAGTATAAATAAAGAAAAACAACGACGTAAAGAATACGAAAATGGGACACGGGAACTGAAACAGGCATATATGGACGAAATCCAATACCCTGGCAAGCATCAAACAGCCATTGCGGACGCAAAAGCCAAACTAAAGGTATATCACGAGAACCGTCTATATGGAGCATTTATCCGATCTCGTGCTGAGCATTGTGAACAGGAAACCCACCCGTCCAAGAAATTTTATCAAATGGAACGAAAGCATAATCAATATAAAACGATCAGTACAATAAAAAATGGGAATAATGAAACAATAACTGATGATGAAGAAATAACAAAATTTATTCACCAATACTACTCAAAAATATTCGAAAGGAAAAGTTTTCACGAAGGAAAAGCACGAGACCTCATGTCTCAAATGCCAAAGCTTAACGATAAGCAGAGTACTGAGCTAAATAGAAACATCACTTATGAAGAATGCAAAACAGCGCTAAATAGCATGCCAAATAACAAATCACCAGGACCGGATGGGTTACCTGCTGAATTTTACAAACAATTTTTCCCCTTGATAGGGCAACGATACGTCAACATGATCAACAACTCTATAAAAACCAACAAACTGATAAATGGCTTCAATCACGGAATAATCACCCTTATTCCTAAAACCGACAAAAAAGAAGAGTTAACGAAAATCACAAACTGGAGACCCATCTCACTGCTCAACACCGATTACAAAATCCTCACTAAAGTCCTAGCCACCAGACTTCAAATCTGCGTCCCCTCGATCATAGACGAACACCAAACCTGTGGCATAAAAAACCGTTCCATCCACTCTAACATCTTCCTCTCTCAATCCATCTACGAATTAGCCAGCCAATGTCACGATACATGCGGCCTTTTACAAATAGACCTCCATAAAGCCTTTGATAATATCGGGCACGATTACCTTTGGTCAGTCCTAAACCACATTAATATTGGAGAAAACTGTTTCAAATGGATAAACTTATGTTACAAAAACGCCACCAGCCAAATAATAGTAAACGGAAAACTCACAGACAAATGTAACCTGTACAGTTCTGTACGCCAGGGCTGCCCATTATCCATGCTTCTTTTTATTATTTGCATGGAACCTCTTTTCCGCCACATTACAGCTGATAGTAACATCAAAGGATACCGCCTTCAAAATAATCTTGACAGCGAGATCAAATACACTGCTTATGCGGACGACATAACGTTGTTCCTCACTGACATAAACAGTATTAAGATGGTGAGTTTAGTTTTCGAGAAATTTAAAGATATCTCTGGTACGGAAATGAACCCACAAAAATGCAAAGGACTCTGGATTGGAGCCTGGGAAAATCTCCCATCAAACTACTTAGGATTTAACTGGTCCCAGACCAACATCAAAAGTTTGGGAATACTGATAGGTAAGAATAGCAACGAGCAATGGAACAAAAACATCGAGAAAGTAAGAAAGGCCTCTTACATGTGGAGAGGAAGAAATATCTCAATTACTGGAAAGGCTAAACTAGCGAATATCAAACTGCTGAGCCCTTTTTGGTATCTTATTCACACGCAACCACTCCCCAAGAGAGCGGTGACGCAAATCAATAGAATATGTGCCACCTTCATCTGGGGCTCAAACTTTGAACCGATAAGAAGAACGACGTTATATAATAGTTTAGAAAACGGAGGAGCTGGCTTATTGGAGGTCTCCCTGAAAACCTTAATACAGAGAATCAAACTGATAAATAACCTGCACAAATATGGTATCTGGACAAGCCTAGCAAAAGCATTTCTCCAACCTCACATACCAAATATAATCATAACTACTGAGAAAATACACAGACTAAGACCACCAACAATACTGCTTGAAATTGTACGATGCTACAGAACAATGAAGGAAAACTTCTCCGATGAAATCATCTTTACATCAACACCAAAAGAGCTCTACTATAAAGTAATAGATAAATTTATTCCGAAACTCCAAAACCGTATATGTCAATTCAATCTGAAAAGTAAAAATATAATTAAAATCATTTCAAAACTAAATATCCCTAGCAAAGCGAAAACCATCTTTTGGAAACTTCAACATAACTGCCTACAGACAAACGAATGGAGAAAGCAAAAAAAAATTTACAAACTGCACAGACTGTCCCATATGCTACAACAAAGAAACGCTCGAACACGCCATCCTGGAATGCAAACACACGAACCTACTCTGGACAACATTAAGTAACAAATGTTCTCTAACACGAACGCACAATATAGAAGACATCAAATGGCCGTGTGAGTATACAGAGACTAAACAGCAACTAACAATCCTAATCATCGCGATCAACGCAATCTGGACAAGCAGAAATCTATCCTATTACAAAAAAACCAACGAAGGAATAACCTTTTCCATTTTTAAAAACAAAATGGAAAACCAGAGACAACTGCTACAGTACAAAAAGCAGAACTTGACAAATATTGAAAAAGAAAACTGGATAAAGACTGGACTTATTATGGAACGTAATGGTTTACTACAACTAAACCTGTAATGCTCTTGTAAACTATTAAATATTTTAAATGTAAATATGTAACTATTCTATACCCATCTAGTGTATTATAGTTTCTGTATGAATAAACAGAACTTTACAAATATTGAAAAAGAAAACTGGATAAAGACTGGACTTATTATGGAACGTAATGGTTCACTACAATTAAACCTGTAATGCTCTTGTAAACTATTAAATATTTTAAATGTAAATATGTAACTATTCTATACCCATCCAGTTTGGTATAGTTTCTGTATAAAGGATATATTGTTCTGATAATAAAATTATTTGAAAAAAAAAAGTTCGGGTGGCGTAACTGGCAAGCGCACCGCACGGCAAGTGAAGGTTTTGGATTCAAGCCTCGTCCTGGGCCAGTTCTTTTATTCCAGAAGGTTCTAAAATTTATTTAATTTTAATTATTAATTTACTTAAGAGATGGCGCCTAACGCCTACATCAAATGTCAAATTACTTTATTCCAATCATTTAATTAGCTATATTATAGCCCGATATTTAGGCGATCATTTGGTAATTTTTGTACTCTAATATGATAAAGAATAATCCATTTTATTCAATAACAATTTAAAGAAACTAAAAATATATTTAAGTGTAAGCTATGACTAAACTATATAGTGTCTTTGATTCATAAAATTCTTGTCAAAGTATAATATGAAGTTAAATTTTATTAATAAAGCTGTTTTGACCGCCCCCTTGACCTACATACATCCCGTCCCAAAGGTCCCGCCACCACCCCTACTGTACCTGCGTGAGCATACCAGTAGGCCCTGAGACTTAAATACACCAATCCGCTATCTACTAGACCTATGCACCATACCCATAAGGTCAACCAGTAGATTTTTATTGGCATGGTATGATCATGCCAACACCATATATGCACCATTACCCATGTGATGATGAAGACTATCAGGAGGTTTTATCTCCCGAGCAACCTACTTCTCTTCCTTTCTCTTTTCTTGAGCTAGCTGGCCCTAAGCACATGCCACTGCCAGATTCACCACCGATTGCGTATTTCAACCTTTTTTTCACCGTTACTTTGCTCAATCTAATCGTAACGGAATCAAATCGTTACGCTCAAAAAGTGATAAATGGCATGGGGAATAATGTACCGCTTTCTCTGAAGAACTGGTCCAAAAGTTCGGTTGTTGAAATAAAGGGGTTTCTCGCATGTATATTGAACATGGGTCTAATCAAAAAGCCTTATATAGCATCCTACTGGTCCACTTCTTCCTCCAGAAGAGATTCTTCTTCATGTTTCCAAGAACCCGCTTTTATCACTTGTTGCGATTTTTCCTTCTCGTTAATAACACTAAGTTATCCAACCCAGGGGAACAAGGATACGATTCTTGTGCTAAGTATCAACCTCTGGTAGATCATGCTAACAGAGTGTTCCGGCANACACATAATGTACTCTAATATTATAAAGGGGCTATATATATAACGTGCTAAAAAATCTTTAAGTTCGTTTTTCTCGACTATTTTTGAGTATTGCACTTTAGTATTTTACAGGTAGTACACTCACGTGTAGTATCTCTACACCAAAGATAATCAAAATCCGTAGGGTCTCCTTGTTAGATCATCTCAGCTACTTGGAAATAACGAGCTTTGAAGTGAATTATTTGAAGCGGGGCTAATAGCTGAGCTGAACTGGAGTGTGTTGCAGCAAAATCCCTTATTGAAATTAAACTGCATCCGTAATAATAACGGATAGACAGTATGCCAAATTTATTTCATTTATCTGTTATTAAAATGAAAGAATTCATATAAAAATCTACTTCAACATAAGCAATTTTAAGAGAATTATTAAAAGTAATAAAGGGTAACATTTCAAAGCGATACAAATAAAAACAATCAGTTCTAGCAAAACATGTTCAGTATAGTACAGTGTCAATAATTCAAAGTGGACAGGATCGAGACTATCTGATCTGAGCTTTGAACCAATCTGGGGTTCTGTTATGTCCGTAAAATAAACGACTTTTAACAAAATCCCAGACTCTTGTTAACGTACATAATTAACTCTATTATAATCAAACGTAACTTTGTGCCTCCAGGTCTAACTTGTAAGTGTCACTACAGCTAACGCACGACCGACCGAAGACAAAGGAACACCTAATTAGGTCAAGAGGCAATTCGGTGTGGGTTATCCCCCGGAGGTTTACATACATAACAGATTCAGGACTCAAGCAGAGAGCCGAGCCGACCGTTAAAATTTTGAGCCGCACCTCAGCTTATTTGGTAGAACTGTAATTGTAACCGCAGAAAAAGTTACGAGCGGCATAGACACACGCCAAGGAGAGCAAACTCAAGGAGCCTACTCTCCTTCGAGTGGCTCTCGATTTAAAATAAATAAATAAAATATCATGGAAGTAAGACGAAAAAATTTTGGTGGAAAGCGGAGAGTTTTCATTGTTACGAGCGTTCGACAAATAGAAATAGAATTGGACTAAGGAGACGAGATTACGAGACGTAGTCTCGTCGCCAAGTGCGAGTTTTCAGTTGTGAAAAGCGGTATTCCATCGACGTTCGACATGTATCCCTCCCATTATTCTTCTGTAAAGGAATAATTCTTAACAACCACACCATGAACAATTCTCGAGAACTAAATTTTTTGCAGAAGTTGCATATATTGCAAGTAAGTGCCTTAGTTTATTTCCTACCAATTGATAAGGATATTTTTGTTTGTGCATGGATGTTGGATCCAGTATATTTCTACTGTTTTACCTTTCTACATAAAAGTAAAGGCCTTTAAAGATTTCTGCCAGACGAAACGTCTTCCATGGGATTTCAATCGTAAATTTCTTAAATGAATCTTCTTAAGTTGCGAATTATACTTTATTCATTAGTTATTTGCCTATCGAACCGTGTAGATGGTACGGTGCTTCGCTCGCTCCCGTGTCACATTCACTCGCTCCCCTCTGTCAATGGCCCTGAACTTGAGAAAGTACGTTCTCTTTATACCGGTCCTAGTTTAATAATTTGCTACATAAACAATTCTCTTACCCGGTAAACGGAACACGAGCGGGCCTTCGTTTAAATATACTATTGAAGTGTCTTCGACAGTTAATTGTTTGTCTTCGTATTTTACGGAAGACGAGCGTAAATATTGTGACATTGAAGATTATTACCAGACATTGTGTACAAAAATTCATTTATTATTACCATTTTACTTTTGATTTACTTGTAATATGATTGATATTTCAAAATTATTTGAACAAGTTTACTTATCAGAAATCCATTCGGTAATAAATCAGAAGTAAGCATTATAGATAATCAATAATGTATTCTAAGGCAATTTTTACAATTAACTTACGTAATAGGAGTTAGTATTATGTGTGTCCTTTAAAACCTCGTAATATGCTTCGTAGACTGGTTTTTGTAATAGCTTGAAAATGATATATAAATAATAAACATTAATGAAATCTTTTGTGATGATAGATTACTTATTTTTTTATTCTTTGAAATTTATTTCATTAAAATTAACCTTTTTAAATGTACAAAACTGTAAATATTAAGTATGTAAATATAAAAAGTAATATATTAACGAAAACGGAATGATCGGTTGAGCATTTTTGTTACTTCTGCTTTACTTATAAATGTAACGTTTATACTTAATCTAGATACGCCCGATGCTATAGTTACGAAATTAAAATTATTAAAAATAAATTGTTTGTTTGCGAGAGATGACGGCGTGTTGTAGTAGTATTATAGTAATAATGTGTAAAAAAAAATCGGTCGTGTAATCTATTAATTAGGGCTGTTTAAAAAACCACGTTAAAATTGGCTTATAGTTTGCAGCTTTATGGTATATTATATAGTTGTTTTGTATTATAATTAACTTATTGTTGGTATTATTCTCAAAAACACTACAGGAATCATCAGAAAAAATATACTGTAGGAATGCTTATGTTAAAATTGATGACATTTATGCTTTGGTTTTAATTTGAAATAAGCTGTCTTACAAGTAGGACATTAAGCAAATGTTTGTACTAGGCAAAATGGAATTTCATGTTTTTTTCTTTTTGTAAAAAATTATATGATTGATGTTAAGTTACACATATAAATTATATAAAACATGTTAAATATACCAAAACTTACAAATAAATATTTGTGCGCACGTTTGCGTGTGTGCGTGTTTGTTCTTTTTAGCATAAATAATACTAATTTGAATGCAGATTGTATAACAGTATTAGTAATTCATTTTAAAATTAATATTTGTAATGTATTTTTATTATGTTGGGATATGCGTATGAAATTTTGATAATTTTGGAAGAGGTGTACCTGTAAAGCTAAATAAGGAACTACAGATATATACCCAACATTGAACAATACCAGTGAAGATGTAACTGACGAGAATTGTGGTGTAAAGCCAAGAGAAAACAATCTGCCAGAATCACAGCTTTTAGTTCCTGTTGATGTTTTACAATTTACACTTTCAAGAAGAAATTTTCAATGAGAATTTGTAGCCTGCTAAGAAAAAATATATAAGCTGATATATATGGAGCTTATGGTGGAAAAATAGATCACTTAACATTCCAAAGAAAAGTTGCATATGATTTATTAGAAACTTTAAGTAAAGTATATTTTAGGAAAGCTGGACAACCAGCAAAACTTGCGAAATTAGATTCACATGATGATTTAATAATGTACTGTATTTACTATATGTACTGTATTTACAGTACATGC